TCCCTGTTACTTTGACAGTACAAGGCAGAGTCTCAAATCCTAATACCTAGTAGGGTCTCTAATGCCTCTATCCATTACTTAGCAGTATGTAAGGACTCTTCCTTTGGAGATAAACATACATGCAGACTCAGCCACGTCCTTGCAAAGACAATGGAGTCTGTGAGGGTCATCTCACTGTCCCTGAGTTTTCTAGCTCTGCACCTGCCGTGGAAGCACCTGGAGGTCAGGAAAGTAATGTTATTTTTCTGCTATTACTTTTCCCATTTTCACCATTAGTTAGGAGTGATGGAAAATTACAAAATCGCACCTGTTTTTGAATGTTACAGTATTTTCACTTGTCAAGATTTTTCACTTGTCAAGATTTTATCCCAATGTATTGCAGGAGCATACTTTAAATTCATAGATTTCAAAATATGTTATGCATTTCAATGTATCTGTTCATGCAGCAAAGTATCTATTTCTCCTCTTGAGCTCATCCACTTTTTATGACCGGAGAGTTATGTAATACAATGTGTTTCCTTCTTTGTCCTGGTTACCAGGAAACTCATAGGTATACATGTTATACATAACTGCTAAAACTGTCACCAACCAGGATTTCTTAGTGACTTTACTCTCAGCCTTTCTACCTTTTATCTATATTAATGGCTTCAATTCTTACAGCTCTGTATTCATAAATAAAGATATAGACACAGAGAAAGACCACAACCACCCATTAAAAGTACATCAATCTAAACATTGCTCCTATTTCCCTTTCAGCTCCCATGTCCTCTCCAGGAGTCTGTTTCTGGCACACACCAAAAGCATAATCTATGTGTGGCTTCTCTCCACTTAGTGAATCCTAAAAAGAATCTTCTTACATGAAAGCCTAAGTTAGCAATGTAGACAAAAATGAAGATTTCCTAAAGAAGACATAAGAAACAAACTTCTTTTATTTTCCTCAAACTCCTTTCATTGTCTTTATTTTAGTCTTGTAGATCAGAGTCAAAAAGGTTCTGTAAGGAGCTCAAGAGTAAAAATGTTCAGATCTCATGGGCTATGTCTCTGTTGTCACTACTCATCCATGCCATTGTAGTGACAACAGAGCCATAAGCAAATGTCCATGATTATGTTTCAATCAAAACTGATTAATTAAAAATAGGTGATTCACATGGCCAAGGATCACACTTTACTGATCCTGTTCCAAATCTTTCCCCGACTTTACTGAATCCTCTCTGCGACGTGTCACTGTGGTTCAACTCCAATGTCCAACCGCTTCCATTTAGCCATGGCCAAGACAAATGGCTCTCCAGTTATAGTTGAATAAGGCCCTATATCCTCACAAAACAGCTTAGCTACATTCTTTATTGTTAAAATACAACCCTAGGTGAGTCTGTTCCCTTCTACATACACCAGTCATTTTGCTGCAATATTCCTTCTTACCACATACAATAATAAGACAAGAGAATTTTAGGTGCGTGAAAACTAAGATCACTTTGCTCCAAATTCATCTCCATCTGTACATATGATGTATTTTTGGAGCCTGCAGTCATAAATGGATTGAAAAATATGGCTCCATCAAAATACAGAAACAGGATCTTCCTAACAACACAACCCAGTTACAGGATCCTAGAGGGTAACTTCATTATAACTCAGTGCTCTCAGCTACACAATGGTAAGATCTAGAAGCTCTTGAAGTTCTCTGATGTGGCCAAGTGATGCTGCTGCTACTGGTCCAGAAACCATGTTTTGGAACTGCTTGCTTATATGATAAAAGTCCCTCTATCCATTGTATAAAGGAAGTAATAAAGCAGGCTATAGAAAGATGATTCCTCTCCATTATTTTCAGAACAGGGTTCTCTCTTAAAGGGAGGATTAGTTGGATCAGTCCATCAAATGGCACACGTAGGGCCACACCCTAGCAATAGCAACTATTTATAGGCTAGAAGAAGGCTAATGACCCGTCTCACAAAGGCATGCTGGAACTCAAGGCCTATTAGGCAGCCAGATATACTGTGTGTGGAAGGACGAGGGAAGCAGAGTGCAGGCAAGAAGTGAGACACAGAAATGGCATTCCAAACATCCTTTGCAGGAGCCACTCCTTCTAGAACTTTCTTCTTTCATAAATGCCAAGTCAACAGAAACACTGTGAGGTTGACCATATTCATAGGCCTAAGTCCCAAATAGTATACAATGTGACAGAAGAGAGACTGAGAAGTGAGACTGAGTGGAGGCTGCACTCAGGGACTCCCACCTAATGAGGAAGGCAAAGCCCATATGTGTTCACCTTCCTGAGACAAGCAGGGAGTTGGATCATTCCCTCACACAGTAGGCACACAGAGGAACTCCAGGCGTGATGGCGGTGGTGGAGGGCTGGGAAGGCTTTCCTGGACGGGGAGAAGTAGGGGAAACAAAAAAGGAAATGTGCAAGCTTGGGAATGTGAGAGAAAAAATGAAAGGAAGCCTGAATGAGGGTACAATTTTCACAGAGAGGTCTAAGAATAAGCAGCGAAACAGATGAGGTCTCCCCCTCCTTGTGTGAGCTCCAAGCTACTCCCACTTCTGTGTCTCATGTCCTTCATTGGAAAAGTGCAAAGTTAAGACCCTATCACAAATTTCCAAACTGTTTGCATCGTGGAACAACTCCAAGACAAAAAATAAGGGAGGGGGAGAGACAGGCCCGGCCCTCGTTCCTGCACAGCCTCTGCAGTCGGCCATTCGTCTTTACCCTCCTCCCTGGGCAGTTTGCTTCCAGCAAGTTTGTAAGTCACATCACAAGAAACTACAAAGACTCTGTCCATTTGGCACATGGGGTGTCTTGGAGAGAAGAGAGAAAGGAATGAGCACTGCGTGTGGAATGCTGAGTCCAGTTTACAATAATGGGAGTAGGAAGGAGGGAGCCCTTGAAGGCTTGTGAATAGAGGCGTGCCATGGCAAAAGGAGTAGAATTAGACCCACAAAACACTAGAGCCCGATCTGAAAAATCTCAACTGTTGAGAAGGTTCTGAGTAAGAGCAAGGGGTGATTTTCCCCCGTGTCAGCCTTCCCTCCCAGGACATTGTACTGTATGCAAAACGAGTAACTGTAAGACAAACATTTTTTTCCACTGCCCTTCTCAGCCCCACAGGCCTTCAGGAAGACCTAACTTCAAGCAAAACCTTTTTATTTTTCAACACCCACAGCTTCCATTCAACTATCAGAAGTTTTCCACTTTGATCAAAGTGACTAAACAGAGAGGGCCGAGGAGGCAGCCTGTTCTCAGCAGCTCTGGGCAGATGAGAGTTCTGCAGATCCCTGCCACCCACTCAGTGTCCATACCCACCAGACCTCCATCAACCAGGTACACACCCCCCCACCCCACACCCAGGCTTGCCTCCCTCTCACCCCCACAACCTGGCTGAGTGAATGCACATCTTCAAAAAACAAGCCCAGCTTGGGTACAGGGGATTTCAGCTACCTTGACTATAAATTCACCACTTATGAAAGCCAAGAACACAATTCATCAATTCGTCTCCAACCCCCTCTTCTTACAACAGGATTTATGATCTTGTCACATCACTAGGAAGGATATCTAGACTGACTCCAAAGTCCAAACTAATTCAGGAGATGCTCAGAAGCTAGGGGGTCTCCATGAGGACATCAATGACCTAAATCTGAGCATGGCTCAGGATCCAGGGCATTCATTCTCTCAGGGGATCCTGGAATCTTCAGTGGCTCACAATGACAGACTGAAACCAGAAAGCTTAAAGGGAAGGATCCCGATGATGGGCAGCCTTTAGGATGATAACAAATGAACATTTCTCTAGGCAGTGATCACTACTTCAAACCATGTTTGAACAGAGACCGTTAGTCACCACAGATGTGACTCAGCTCTGGGTCCCAGGCAATCCACTTACTATATTTGAATTCCAGCTGTGGCCCAGGGGACCACTTTGGGATGTTTAACTGGAATTGTCCAACAGAAGCTGCCAAGTCTATTCCCATTCATGAAGCACTCTTACATCATCTCCTTGATCTTTAGGATGACTGTAACACAAGGGCCATGGTGACCTATTCAATACAAAACAAAAACAGGGAAAAGCTAAGACAGCCTCTCAGCTGTTCAGCCTTTCTGTGGAGTACAGAAGAAAAGATTTCATGTAGGTTTGGGGGCTGGCCAGGATGGTTGATACAGCCATGTTCTATCATCAATAACACTGGCAGCTTTGATTGAGAGGTGTATATTTATCCTTGCTGAGCCTTTTTCCCTTGGAAGAAATGCAGCCTGTCAGGGAGAATAGAAATGAAGGTAGAGATGAGGGTGGAGTGGAATTGTGTGTTTGTACATGCCCAGGACTGAGTCTGAAAATGGTGATTCAATTCTAACAGTCACATGCACACACAAACCATCACAAACCACCAACATCACATCACATGAACACCAACCCCATATAACATCCCCCACACAACACCCCACAGACAGTTCACTGCATACCACCTCCCCACCCCACCCTCCAGGCTAATTCCTTCCCCTTTTCATGAGTGTTAAGGCAAATCAGATTCTCAAAAGCGTTTAATAGAAACAATGTGTAAAACTGCAGATTTTAAAAGCACTGGATTTCCAGATTCCTGCCCTCTTCCCCTGTATCCTCTTATCCCCAATTTCATAATGCCAGTCTCTTTCCCTTTTAATATATCTTGGCATTTGTGGGCTTTGCCTACCCAGAGAATGGATGGCATTTCCAGTTTTAAGAAGGGATTATTCTCAAACAACTTGTCAAATCTACTGTGGTCCAGAGAATGTAGCCTCACCCAAACCCAGATAAGTAACTTCATCCACCAGGTCCCCTGAGCCCTAGGCCTCCTGAATGCAATGTGTAGGCTCTGGGCAGGAAGGAGTTTTGTGACTGAGTCTAAACCGAAACAGAAGTAGCTTCATGCACGCGCACACACACACACGCGCATACACGCATACACACACACACACACACACACACACACACACACACACACACACACACACACACGGGGAACTGTCGTTTTCCTACGCGTGTCCTCTGACATCAGCCACCTTCCCTGTTTCTCTGCACTCAAATCAAATTCTGGCAGATGAAAAATGAACCTCTCCCCCACCCTTGCTGCCTCCTTTTGCCTCACACCCCCAGAAAAGGGTTGCTCCGCCAAGCAGAGGGTGAAGGTTTTTTTCCAAGTCACATGATCCAGGATGCATGGGGAAAATCCTTGGAACTGAGATGGGCCCAGAACCGAATCTGATGAGGAGAGAGATAAGGTGTGATGCGGGGCTGCCTATATAAAGCATGGAGCCCGGGCTGCAGCGAGCACCCTTCCGCAGGACCCCTTCCTCTCAGCCAGCCATGCAGGTGCCACCTGGCTCCGTGGCCGGCCACTGGGGAGCCACAAGCCGCAGCTACTTCTACCTCACCACAGCCGTGCTGGTTCTGTGTCTGGTCGTCACAGTGGCAACCATCATGGTGCTAGTGGTACAGAGGACGGTGAGTGCACATCTCTTCTTGGCTTTTCCTCCCTGGTTTACTCTCAGCTTCAGCTCCGAGGGCAAACAAATACCATAGCTGGGAGCAGACTTTAAAATGAAAATAAATAGAATGATATATATAGACTTGTCATGTAAGAGAGAGAGAAAGAGAGAGAGAAGAAACAGGAACTAACTTTCTGAAATCATTTGGATTTGGGAAGAGAATATTATTGGACCATCGTCTCAAAACTTTCCAGTTCTACAGGAGCCAAAAGAGTAGAGGGGAACTTTCAGCCTTGAGAAATTAAGATTTAAACCCTGCCAAGCCAGCTACTGATAGTATACGGGAGGAAAGTAACAGGGAACCCTGACAGCTTATCTGCAAGAATTGCTACCGAGTCTTGAAGACCTTCTGGTTGGATCCTGGGTTTCCATGCTCTTCACCCAGGTCGTACGGAGGTTTCTGAAGCCTCATTCATTGCCGAGTTCATTTGCTGTTAGCTGTGTTTGTTTTGTAACTTCAGAAGCCCCGGATCTAGAAGGTAACGAGGCAAGTGAGCGGCGGCCAGGCTGCCAGGCTTTCTCACAGCGTTGGGTATTTCACCATTAAAAACCACAAAAGAAATTGAAAGCTTCCTCACCAGCTGCTGTTTGAAGAGCCAGAGTCACAAAGAAACAGCGAGCAGACAGGCAGGGAGCAGAGATGTTTTCTACCTGTGACCTCAGAAACACCTCAGAATACTAAGCAGTTTTGGGATGCACACTGTGCTGGGTTAAGCTATGGAGGAGATTTACTTTTATTTTTTAGATAGTCAATGGTGAGATTTGCTTCTGAAAGCAGTGAAGTCATGGAGAAAGCTTCCTCCTAGCTCAAAAAATGGCTATGGGAAGGGCATCCACAGGACAGATTGTATAGAAAACACTGCACTGGATGGCATATGGCTTTTTTTTTTAATGAAGTATTTAGTGATCTGGGTAATGTAAAAACCACCCATCATACAACACAACATCCTGCCAATGTGAGGATGTTTTTTCTGCTCATGTTTTGTATCCCTCACTTTCCATGTACTGTAATCCTGGAGAATTTGTTCTGGTTTTCCTTCTGCTGTCTTCAGGCAAATATTCTGCTATTTATCAATTGCTGAAATTAAGTAGGCTTTTGGAAGCTTTGATAGCTATTTCTGGAATGTCATCAGGCCCTGAAATTTCAACAGAGCCTTGAAAGCTCAGCTCTCCATAAAAATGAAAGAAGGGGGCAACTCACGTTTGATTTAGATGGTACATTTGATTTAGAATTTGTACAAGCTGTTGTTGAATGGGCTCATGTTCACCTCACTAAAAATAAGTCCAGACACATTCTAGGGCACTTGTAGACTCCACAACTTCTGAGATTGTCATTTGGAGTGAGCCAGAGATGTGTTTGTTATTATGTAGTAATGGCCAGAGGAAAAGAAGCTGAAGTAGCCTTTCAGACATTCTTAGTTGAAGGATGGGATGCGGTTAAAGTTGCTGGGTTCAGGAGAGAAAGCCAGAAGTTGGAAAGAGGGTGCTGGGGTTCTATACTAAGCTACAGTGGTCCTCAGATTCAAACCTGGAATTGAAAGTGCTGGACTGGATCTTTCTATAAATGAAAGAGGAGCAGGCTTGAACTAAGCTACTTAGAGCAAGCATTTGAGTAGAGATTGTGTAGTTGCTTATTGAGAACAGCTTTCTCTTTGCCAATACAGCTAGTCACAGAAGCATAGAAAATCTGGTCCCTGTCCTTCCCTAAGGAGCTTCATATCCTGGGGAATCCCTTTCCTTCACTTGCTTACCCCCTTCATGTTGGATATGGAAAGATGCTCTTACAATCTGACTCTATGCTATGCTTTGCTCTGTTTTCTTTAGTGCATAAACTATCAGGCACTTGCTTACAAGCAAAGTCTGCAACATTAATAGTTGCAAAATTAAGCAGCAACTGTCTAATGCCAATCATTTCAAACATGGTGCTCAGGTGTTAAATTGTGGTAAGAGCTAGGGAAGTGTAATTCCCCTGAGCCTGGATTATCAAGGAAACATTTGATAAGAAGCGGGGCTGGAGATCTATTTGGAACCAGGTGGGGCTTGGGCAGAAGAAAGAGGCTCAACCTGAGGAAGGCTGCAAGAGGAGTATCCAAGGAACATCCTGTTATTAAAGAGAGACTGGGAGGGGCTGGGAAAGTGGCTCAGTGGTAGAGTGTTTGCCTCACATGCACGAGGCCCTGAGTTCAATTTCTCAGTACCACATAAGCAGAAAAAGTCAGAAGTGGTGCTGTGGCTCAAGTGGTAGAACATTAGCCTTGAGCTGAAGAGCTGAGGAACAGCGCCCAGGCCCAGAGTTCAGGCCCCACGACCAACAAAATAAGTAAATAAATAAATAAATAAGGAATGGGAATAAGTGTTACTGATCAAGATGCATTGTACTCATAACCAACATGCTGAATCCCTTTTGTACAACTACATAAAGATAACCTTGTAAATTTAAATAGAAAATGGAATGAGCTGATGACCACACAGCATTCCTCATGTGTGACAAGGACAGGGATAGAGAACCATGAGGGATTTCCTGCCATATATAAGACCGCTATGTGACTACAAATGAAGGAGAGAGTATTTTCCCGGGAGGTTTAAGAAAAACCTTCACTATGTTGAAAATGAACTTTACAACTTTGGAGGGGAGGGAGGAGTTGGGAATGTGGGGAGGGAAGGGATGGTAGGGGAAAAATAAACGAGGAGGTAAAAATGCTTTAGGAAATGTACTCATTACCTTACTCATGTAACTGTAACCCCTCTGTATAGTATCTTTACAATAAAAAAAGAAAGCAAGATTAAAGTTTAGAATTATTTATGCAAAAAGAAGGAAAAACCTTCACTGGATACTGGAGTTTCGAGTCAGCTTCAGAAAGGTGAATGATTTCAAATGGATTAAAAAAAGAAGAGGAAAGCAGATGATTCTGGCCGGTGGCATTGTGAGGAATGACATGGAGGGCACATCGGAAAATCAACCACCATGGCTTTGTGATTTAACTTGAAGATGAATTAACAAGGTCAAACTCAATGGGGGAGACAAAAATATTTAGGGTTCAAACTAAATATTTATTGAAAAATCTGCTATGTTCAGGGCATTGTTCTAAGCACTGGGTATATATCACTGTACAAAACCAATAATATGCCTGCTTTTGCACTGCTTGTGGAACTCTCTAGTAGGCATTAAAATCTCCTTGGTGGTTGATTTTGTTAAATTTACATTTAAAACAGTATAGTCATGATAAAATATTCTAGCCAGATACCAGTGGCTCAGACCCATACTTACTTAGGACCCATACCTACTTAGGAGGCTGAGATCTGCAAACTGCAATTTAAAAAGCCAGAAGGGGCAGGAAAGTCAATGAGACTCTTATCTCCCATTAATCACCAAAATGCTAGAATCAGAGCTGTGGCTCAAATGGAAGAGCACTAGCCTAGAGCAAAACAGCTCAAGGACAGTGCCCTGGCCCTGAGTTAGAGCCGCAGGACACTCTATCTACCTATCTACCTACTCATCTATCTATCTATCTATCTATCTATCTATCTATCTATCTATCTATCTATCTATCTATCTATGTAGACATAGAGATAAAGATATATACTTATATTTTATATTTTATGTTTAGGGTAAGAGCCAACAAATAAAAGAAAGGTAGAAATCTCTCACATATGCCCAAACAACAATCCTTCTTTGCTGAGATGGCCACTATGAATAGATTGTCATGAGTCCTTCCATAAATCAGAGCAGCCACAAATTCATAATCCACACAACATAATATGAGAACCTTAGTTCTTTGCTTTGTGTACTTGATGGTGTATCTTAAAAGATCCTTCTGTGTCTAAATGTAGAAACAGCTTCTTTCTCTTAAAGAGTCACACAGTATTTTATTTTATTATTTTTTAAGTTTTGTTGGTTGTGGGGCTTGAACTCTGGGCCTGGGCACTGTCCCTCAGCTCTTCAGCTCACAGTGAGCATTATACCACTTGAGCCACAGTGTCCCATCCAGTTTTCTAATGGTTTATTGGAGATAAGAGTCTCATGGGTTTTCCTGCCTGGGCTGGCTTTGAACTGTGATCCTCAGATCTCAACCTTCTGAGTAGCTAGGATTACAGGTGTGAGCCACCAGCGCACAGCTAAGAGTCACACAGTATTCTAAGGCTTCATAACTTCTTTTCTCTGTGCATAGGGTGAGACATTTATAATTCACTCTAGATTTTTGTCCTCAGTGCATATCTACAAGTAGATCTGTAGAATAAATTCTTAGAGGTGGGAATAGAAAATGTATATTCACTTGAATAACGATGTCAATGTGTTTGCAAACGGATCGTACTCATGTGCTCTTGTTTTTTTTGCTTTTGCTATTTTGGGGTGTTTTGGAGACAGGGTCTCACTTTGCAACAAAGGCAGAACTTTATATTCGCACCTCCTGCCTTTGCCTTCCAAGAGCTGGGGCTATGGGAAGGTGCGGTCACTGCACCTAACTAAATCTAAATTTCTTCTCTTTCTTTCTTTGATGATAGTAAACTGGGCTTTGTACTTACCAGGCAAGTCTGCTACTATTCTAGCCATACCCCTAGATCTTTTATACTTGGTTTGTTTTTCGTATAGGGGCTTGAGTTTTTGCTCTGGCCAGCTTTACACCTTGACCCTGCCACCTACATTCCCAAAGAACTTGGATGACAGATACATACAACCATTCTCAGGTTTTCCTATGACATGGGATTTTGTTGGCTGTGACTAAAGGTATAAGCCACCTTGCCTGGTATTCTGCTCATTTTTACAGTGGTGGGGATTGAACCCAGGGCCTTTGTTTATGCTAGGCAAGCACTCTACACTGAACTACATCCACAGTCCTTTGTAGCACTATACTCTTGAGGAAGGAAAAGTTCCCTCAACAAAGATACCCTTCTAAATGGGAAGAAAAAAATGGGTATAAGCTCTAGGCAGCCTGTGAAAAACTACAAGATCAAGAT